AAGTTATAAAAGACTGACAGCTGACTAAGAATGAAAGTGTGAGAACAATATAAAACTTATTAGATATTAGATGATCGAGTAAAAGGATTATTTGATTAATATTTACAGAGATAGAAAATAATACATGTAACATTGTATATAAAGCAATAATAATAGAGAGAAAAGAGCGAGATTGACATCTAGTTGCATTAGGATCTTGAATCACTGAAAATTACTGCCACTGGCGTTATAAATGCACAAACAAATTTAGAAGATTGGTAGAACATATCTCATAAAGCTAAAATTAGGCGCATAAGCGCTTCTTCTGACTGAGAATTGTAAGAAGAGTACACAAAGTAGCAATGAGCATTGAGATCTGTATAGATGTTAAATTAACCTGAATACGCAGTCTGTCTATACTGTCATACACACACTTGTTAGTCGGTCTAATCAAGCTTCTATTATAGCATTAGAGTGATTAAATAAAGTAAAGTAAAACGCAACACAGGCGTGTATTGCAAGAAATAACTTAAACAAAGCATACCCATGAGGCGTTTAATGGGCATGTATTTAACATTTAATGTATGCTCGCGCATCCATAGCGCTGTTACGAGTAAAGCAAGCATTGAGCAAGTAGCAAATTTTTTGAGAGTATTTAAAGCAGTGGTTGAACAGGAAAGCAAGCAATGATACATTGCTTATACAGCGCACATACACACACAAAAGAACACTGATATGTAAATGTGAAGATATAGAGATGTATATATAAAATTTTTTTCACATATGATCATAAACAATCGCGCAAACAACACTGGACATAAGCGGCACTGTAATTACAGATAATGCTATATAAACATGGAATGAAGCAGGAGAAAGTAACTGGAGCATGAGTGTAGAACTTGTTACAATGATGTTTGCACTTAAATGATATATTGTTAGCCATAATCATATATGGTGTGCCGTAAGAGCCTAAACTGAGACAAGGTTGGATAAAAATAGCTCAAAGACTAAAAAGGAGATAAATAGAGAGAAGCGACAAGCAAAACATGCTAGAATTAGTTTACGTTAATCATTTAAGATTTGTCTACCACAAGCAAAACGACATATTAGGAGTTGCGTCTAAGGTTGAGACGCGTCTGACGATTATAACGTGGCTAATACACACAACAGGTCCACGCAAACTGACCTAATCGCGACATAGCTCTTTATGCGGAAGAGTACTTACATGCTGCTAAATAACAATGTACTTTAGATCTCACCTACAGCTTTTTATACTAAGCACACGCATTAAGATAAGAGACTCATTCCTACATATCAATCTAATCAATCTATTATACTGTATAAATTGTTTTGTGGCGATTCTGCATTTAATAGAATCTATAGCGTAGTTTGTTGTGGCTTATAGCACGCCTGTGCTGAGAGGTATGTTTAGGTTATAGTTAATATAGTAGTAAGGATGCAGGATGTGTTGATTGGATCTTGTAAATTTGAAGCTTTGGTCTTCCGCAATTAAAAACTAAACCCATATTTTGACTGGAGACTAACGACTAAGCACACACCGAAAAGTCTCTAATTCAATGTCTGTACCCTCACTAGACGTCGAGCGGCCTAGTGAGTACATGAGTCACTTCTTTGATACGACTAATGACCCTAGCTGACTCACGACGTGTAGTAGATTAGTACTGTACAGAGACCAGTTCTGAGCTGTGCGAACTTAGTGACTGATCATAGTCTATAAAGAGGAAAACAGAGTTTTTTAGCTAGTGAATATTAAATGGGTTATTCATTACACATGCATGTCCTCCTTAGAATAATTACCTAATATCTAATATAAGGCTTTTATATATTATATTCCTTCTGTTCATAATACTTCTTGCTATAATTATTTTTTCCAGTTAAGCAAAAAATAAAAGCGATCTGCACTCTCTCGGAAATGCGATTATAAGAAACGAAGCTACGGTACGGAACCTACGTGAGACTCTAGATCGCGCAATAAGAAAAGATAAATGATAGACAATAAAACAAAACTAAATACCTATAGAAAAATTTTAGAGTAACGGTCAATTATATAAAGACAAGAATACACCGGGCTCGCGGACGTTAGTAACCTTTGAAAGGAATAACCTCACCAAAAGAGAGATGAAGAGGATAATTAAAATGCATGACGAAAAATAGATTAATATATTTCCGAGTGGAAGGGACAAGTAGGATGATGTGATTATTTATGTAGCCAGAACCAGAACTGCGCTCTCGACAAACAAGAAACATTGCAGTATATGCATGGTGTATGACATCACTTGGAATTATTTTCGTATCAGACTACGTTTAGTCTCATTAGACAGGTTCCACAACACGCACTGATCAGGAGCGACTGTAGATGCTCCGTAAAAGGCTAGAGAGAGATGACTGTTTTAAAAGTAATAATGGTAAGGCACACTAAACGAGCTCGCACACGTGAAAAACAGAAAGCAAGGATAATACTCTAAATCTATGAAGTGCACACGACTACCTCAGAGGTCAATTTGAGGTTGCTTCTACGCGAGAAGAGTACCATAGTCGAACGAGCGGAACTACACCAGGTTTATTTCCTCGGGTCTCTCGAGTAAAATAGACAAGACACTACGTGCAAACAACATACGCTTAGTAAGAGGTCAGCCAGGAGTAAGGATATCTATATAAAACTGGAGGACATAAGAGCCCAGAGACAGACTCACACAATAATTCAAATATTTACTTTTATATCAATAACGTCTGAAGTATGATGGGCCTCAAAAAGTACTAGCTACACTACATCTTTTTTTTGAGCGGTATTATACTTGTGAGAGAGAGAGTGAGCATCTATATAATAGCGATCAATGGAGGGTTAAGAGAGAGCCAGTTAATAGTGGACGTATATTGTACAAGTAACTTCTGTCTTCTCTAATATAGTATTTAACCTAGAAAACTGTCGAGCGTGGATCGCATCTTAGGTATAATATTGTATTATCTGACTTAGAGCGTAAATCTCACTGATATGAGCGTATGGAGGATTAGAGTAAACTTTGGGATGGGACATGAATAAGGTTAGAAGTGAAGAAAGATGCATGATATTATTGCTATGAAACCAAAATACTCATAAGAACGCTACTAGGACATATGACTCTAGATATAAATTGTAGCTAAAATAATAAAATCGATTTATAGCCTGGCAAGAAAAGTCTGGATTGTAGGTCAAAGCCAGAACTATGCGGGATGTGGTCCACTTAAATGAGAAAAGGATTAAAAATAGCAAACGGAAAGCAACTGAATCTAATTAAAAACAGAGCAGTATACATATACATTTTTTGGACCTAGCCTTTATGACTGACTTTGTATGTACATAATTTCTTACTTTTACTTGTATGCGAAATTTTCTTTGGTTAAACATATATTCTTTTAAATAAATAAATTTAATCCGCCATTAGAAAATAAGTCAACTCGTCGTGCAGTAAAAATTTCATTGCTCGTTGAAGTTAGGTCGACATGAAGCACTTGTTTCAATTAATTTAATGCAGCATACTTTTAAGCTTTTATTTACCTTTTTATTACCGCTACATAAACGAAAATGGATTATTCAGGCGTAGTCACACAGAGTTGTATTCTAATGCCGTCATTTTGAGCTGAGCGCTTGTTGATGATTGCCAGGCGAGAGAGGCATAAAGTAAAGAGTAATAATTATATTATTTTATGCAATTTGTATGCTTGTGTGTAATGGGAAAAGTATGTAATGCGTGAGTATCAGTATTTATATTTTATGAGTGATTAAATATGATAAAAAAATGTAAATGTAAATGTTATGTTTTGATGTATTTTGGCAAACATACTTGTAGAATAAAAAACGGGTTAAAAACACTCGTTTATAAAATTTATTAAATCCAAAAATAATTTTATCATCAGAATTTGTAAATCTCAATCTTGAGCCTAACTTTTGTAATTCAAGAATACTTATATAAGCTTTGGTTTCCTGAGCAATTTTAGACTCTTATAACTTGAAATTTCTGAGTCTTCTCGGTGAATTTTGAACTTAAACCTTAAGTGGTATGTCACAATCGCTCTAATCTTTAGCAAAACACATATATGATATCTTTAATGATGGACTAAGCAGTTTGGGCATACAGCTATTAATGAATTGCAATAGATTAAGATACTGGAGCTGAATATTAATTATTTGGATTTTTAAAGAAAACTTAATAAGCAAAACCTTTCAATAAGCAGTAGCACACTTCTAATAGAACACTTTAATATACCAAAAGCAATACATCCTGAAGCGATGTTAAAAGATTTTATACTGTTACTACTGGATCATCTGCAAGTTCAGTAGCTCGAATCAGATATTAAAAATATCTCTCTTATTACCTATAGGTGTAATCAATATTTTTAAAACCGCTCTTCTGTTAATAATTTCATTTTCAAATTTATTTCGAATACTTATATGTATGACAAATATTTAAAAATACTATATGTAAAGCACATATCATTTCTTGTAAATATATTAAAAAATATTCTTCAAGCATAAAATTTACGTATTTCGAAAATATTCTCAAAATTTGTTATGCAAATTAGGTATGAAAATATAGCCATACAAAAACACTTTGAAAACATGCTAATATTTAATTTCATTTTGTACAAAAATAGATGTAAAAAATATATAAATATCAACGAAATATTTCACGTGACTTATTGTCTGGCATGTGTATAAAATTTGCATACAAAGATATGTACATATATTATAAAAAACAGAGTAAAAACATACATAAATACAAGGAGGTTGAGACTAAGCGCCTACGACGTGGACTTGCATGGAATAAAAATGGTGCCTTTGAAACTCAAAACAAACCACACGCGCATCCGAAAGCTACAAGGCTACATAGCTACACACAACAACACAATATATATATGTGTATGTGCATGCGCCATGCATACAGTCATTGAGTGAATTGCCAAATGAGTTTGGATACTGAAATATTTCATTTCCTTTACTTTCATTGAATATCAAATTCTAGTCACAGAATTCGGCGACTGACACGCTTGCTAACGGATAAATGGGCAACGCATCATGTGCAACACACGGCCGTAGAAGCTGGCGGCAGCACAGACAATGCCGCGCTGAATATTAGCGGCAGCAAAAGTGACACATATGGCGGTGTTGGCACACCAGCTGGCAGCAGCAGCGGTGGAGGCGGCGGCGTGATGGCCAAAATCAACGCGCGTCACTGGCTGCATCCGACATCCAGCCACTCGACCGGGCCTTCACCTTCGGTGACGCCGCCCAGCGCCACACCGCTGGCGACCACGCCCATAATGCCACTAGCCGCCAGCTCGACAGGACTCTTCAGTACCACCACCACCTCGGCGACAACACCCACGCTCTCGACCGCCTCGTCGGCCTCATCATCCTCGGCGTCGGCCACCGCTACAACACTGTCGTCGGCTACGCACTTGCAACAACAATTGCAGCAGCAACAACAACAGCTGTTGGCCAGCGAGGAGCTGCGTCGCAACACTTTCTATCGCACGGTGTGCGCGAGCTTTCAGAGCGCCATATTGCTGCTGGACATGGACACGGGCGAAATCAGTGACTACAATGAAAGGTCAGAGCAGCTGGCGTAATGCAAGTGTTTGCATGTATCTGTGTGTGTATGTGTTTAGTTTTTCTCCCACTAAATAGGCCATAAAATATTTAAGTGCCGTTGCAAGTGCACGCCAAAGTCAAAGCGCCTGTAAGGATGTCAAGCGAGGCGTGATTGGGTACGCTTCTGCAAACAAGTGTTATTGAATTTTTAATGAAATGTCTCCATGTGCTGGCTTAATTGATGCTGGCGCACGCTGTTTGCTGAGACAAAGCGGAGGTTGAAATTAAAAATTCAGCGTTGACAAGGCCTTGCTTTGAAGAATGACTTTAAATTATTACAGAGTAAAATGTTAAACAATTGACTGCAATACCTATTAGGTCTGTAAAGCTACAAAAGTTAAAGAGAAGCATTTGCAGGCTACAAAGCTTTAAAATTAAAAAAAAAACTAAAACAAGGAACAGTTACGACAAAGTTTAAGACGTGAATGATTTGGTGCTAAAGCGATTCACGCCTGAGGATTCAGACTTCTGTTTGCTGCTGTAACCGCTCTCTCTCTCCATGACATTTTGTCCTTTTTACTCTACACTAATTAAAAGTTTTAAAATAGACTGAACTCTCTCCTCCTCTGCGATTATCAACTGGCAATGCAATCAGAAGTCTACCTATAGTAGATACTGAGCAGCACTGAGGAGTTCTGTTTGAGCTTTCATTTGCCTACCAAATCCATAATTCTGTCTCTATACCTGTCTACCACACATGGTTTCATCAAGCTCCAAGAGTTTAAGAAGATAGTCCGTATTTTCTTAAGTATGGAGTCATCGATATTCAGGAGTTGTTGCCAATATCAACAATACGGTCATAATATCAGTATCTGAAATATCTAAAGTTTAAAGTATCGAGTAACAACTATAAGTCCACCGTACCTACATATATAAGCGCATTGAGAAGATATACGTCGAATATGAAAATTCAACGAAGACATTTACTACACCAAAGACCGAACAATTTACACATAAAACAAAAATAGTATAATATAAACACAGTAGTTAGCGCTGAACGCAAACAACTAAGGAGATACATTGTCGACGATGACGACTCTCGACATATCGACAACAGCTCCACTAACTATAACAGAGCTAACTAACTCGTGAGTATACAAATAATAGAAACAAAACACCAAAATATGTGAGACAACTCAGAACATTGTGGCGAGAGTGAGTTAAGCAAAGGTCTAAGAAAATATATTATAATAAGTACTAAAAATTTCGAAATTAAACATAGATCATATGTTTTCTAAATACCACAAATATAACAAACGTTGCGCGAGTGGGGCGGTGAGACACTCAGAGGCACGAGTACGTATCAATACACTACAGGCAGTAAAACCAGGACACTTTACCATTAACATCCTTTCTTATCCCACATTCTATGCACGGATTGGCACACGCTCTGTGCCGCACGTCGCGTATCACATATGTTCGTGGGGTGCTTTGAGTAAGTATAAGCTGATACCTTGTAAAAGACTAAGCTCTAAGGTGTCACTCCTGCATAGCAACCCTATACATGTCTCTTTAGACATCAGGAGACATAACTATTTAAGCTATATTATTTGTCGTTCTACAAAAGTCCACAACACTAGGTTACATGTAAAATTCACGTATTTACAATCATCTCAGCAGTTTGTGTTCCACTCTAATATCAAGGCTTAGATAAGAGATCGCTAATACTATTATAGAGTTCTCGACTGCCACGCGATTATCATAAGGATTAAAATACATTATTGGCTCCCAGTATGCGTCGTAATAGCCGATATGTTCAGTCATTCGTTGCTAGTGCTTTCGGGTATATTAATTATTATAATTGTTCATGGTGTTAAAGTGAATAAATAACACTTATATATTTGTATGTATTTTATTTTGATGATTAAGAAGTGAGCTATGTGGTTCCAGCAAGTTGACTGTAAAGTTAGTTCTAGCTAGCTAGTTAATGGGACAACAGTGTTTGCTTAGTATCCCGGTTTCGAACCTTCAATAGGTAATGTAATAGAGGCTTATCCACTTATTCGAGATCCCGCTTACAGATAATGAAGTTAGATTTGATAGCCAGAGGTCCTTAATCTAGTTCATAATAAGTACGGACAACAGAGCATATCGACCAAGCCTTATGTATGTCCATTATGGTGGACGTCAAGCACCAAGAATTGCAAGACGGATAAGGCTTAAATTGCGTCGGTATGCTTGCCAACTGTGTATGAGAGCTTGAGTTTTGTTAGTATAATAATTATTAAGATGGCCTATTACTTTGAAACTAGCTGCTCGAATGACCACGTAAGTCATGCTTATTTGAAAGGCCCTGTCTTAGATCAAGATAGTCTCTTTCGCGGGTACACGCAGATTGCAAAATGACTTCAAGATTTCACCAAAACAGGGTTTCTAAATCGCACTGCACAGCACTGTGTCTATGTATTGAAAATACACCTTTGGAACCTCCGAGCTGTAGCGCGCAGTCGAGTGGGAATGTTTTATTTAGAAAGAAGTTTTATTTCACATTTGTATTAATTTATGTGGTCCAGAGAGTCCTGTCATCCACTAATTGCCATGAACTTCTGTTACTTAGCATTCTTATTGGGCCCACGGCACGTCCATCACCCGGTTGGCACCTGTGGCTGGTCTCATTCGACCATTTAGAGCGCTGTACAGGATCCGCGTAGTAACAGGAGCGCAAGCTGAAAGGAGAATCTCGCTCACCGCAAAAGTAGCAAGAAAGGTTGTCTACACGCGCTCATGATATATTTTGTAAATGCAAGTTAAAGTTTACACGACTACAGAGTACTCTGGTTTGTAACCACATACCAGTGTATACAATAATAAATTAGCACGACTTACTAACATAAATTATATTGCATCACTTTCACGCTGGTCATCCTATATATGTATCTATTGCCTCCACCAGCGTTATCTTCTCTTTTTTCATGGGTATTTCTTTTACACTGCTTAACGCATTTTGTGCATTTCATAACATTACATCTTAACTAACACTTCCATGTTCATCATATTGTCTGTGGACATAATACGACTTTAAATAAAAAACATTAACTGAGTACAAATTTTAATGTTGCGAGTAAGCAGAAAACAGTGATATGCTTACCAGTTCTGTGCACGTAGCCTATGGATGGGTGTCCATGTTTTGTCTAGAATCAGTCTTCCGTTATAATGCAGCCCGCAACACCGTGACAGCATGCGAAAATGAAAAATACAGAAGCACACAAAGTTATCTCGTACAGGTAGTATATAGAGTTTACAAGACTAAATATATATAACGTAAAAGTAAAGATCTCTATACTATATCCAAACCAGCTTCTGCGTAGATGTAGTCACAGGAAGAGAATTGTCATTTTTTGTTTTAGCTGAAAACAACCGATAGAAAAAGTATGATTTGCATTCTATAGTGAAGTGAGCACTTTGATGATATATTCACACAGTGAGGCAGTAGGCGCATTATAATAAAAAAGCAGTTTGAGTCTATAGTCGGTATATAATATGCAACACACACAGTGGCCAGTGGTCCTTTGATTTCTGCAAGCGTCCGACTGCCTAACAAGCTGTAATTTTTTAATTATGCAATTATGTTCGCGCGACTGAGTGTCCGGCTGTCAAATGCTTTGCCTCAATTTTTTGATTATCTATAGAAATATGGATCAGGTGTATCTGATGTGGAAATGTAATTATTTTAATAAAATTGTGTATTGTATTGGCAAGCAAAAAGGCTGCAGAGATAAATCGTAGAAGCTGTATGATGTACTTTCAGTTTATCACAAACTATCGTTCAGCTAGATTCCATTGAGGATATAGATAAATAAATCCTTTCATGTTGTAAGAGTAACTCTATATTAATATCGATAATATCCACTATAAAGTTTAGATAACTATATGTTAAAGATATGAAGCTATTACTTATTATAACCGGACATAGCCTTGTGCTGAATAAAGAAATCAAATCGGTACTATTCATTGTTAATATATATAGTATGATTAGTGAAAAAATGACAAACACTCCTAGCATATAACTTTGTCAAATTGAAATATATATCACTATTACTCACATCAACACTTGTATGATGAAGTCTAGTCTTACGTTTATGTAACAAATAGATACATCTATGCCGAATTATGATACTATATCTTTCACAATCATTGTGAACTCATATGAATGAAATTTCTGTTATACCTCGAGATATATCTAGTGAGTTACAGGGATTTGAGACTTGGAGAGTATGCATCATAGTTTCGATACTTTTAACGCTTTAAAGTAACTAATTCAAGATAAACATTGTGAGCACACTATTGAAATGTGCTACATAAATGCAACACTAATGCTCTAGTCTTCAGCTGGAAACGCAAGATAAATTCTTTACCTGAGACTCTACACTAAGTTTTGTAACAGGCTTTCCAGGAGAATTATTGTTTACCGCAATAGTCACATAGTATTCATTATCGTAAACCGACTTTACCAAGAAAATACGATCCATACAAGTGTATCGAGTTGGACACGTCATATTGATGATCGAATGAATTGTAATCTCTATACACAAATAGGTAGATCTTATGGAAAGTGTCAGGACAATCTAAATTTTGCTTGGAACACGAAATAGTACCAGCCTCGGCTACATGTCTAAAATTATTTGGGGGATAAGCCTAAATATCTATAGCTCTGACTTTCTGAGACTCAACTCAACTAATAACAGGTTTCTAAAACACACATACATATTCTCGCGAGTTGCTTTTCGATAGTTATTGGCTGTGGAAAAAACACATAAAAGACTCTTAAGCATCAGGTCTGTTTGGCTGTTTCATATTATAATTTGAAATCTTGAGAGATTGAAGATGATTAGAAGATTTAAACGGGCTTCTAGGAAAAACTTAATCGAATCTATTGGTAGAACTCCTAATTAACTAGCCCCCTCATCTAATCGAGGTGAGTTTGGAGTTAACAACAATCCATTACACTAACAAGTTTAA